CACCATCGTGCGGTCGTTGCTCCTGGGAACACGGAAGACGACGAATACGCAACACGTTCCGATGACTACTTTCCGTCATTGTCCAATCCAACTGGAGAATCAGATCGTGTGGGGAACTGCGCTCACCGATGACGGCATCCATTCGGATGTCGTGATACAGACACAAACACACAGCGACCGTCCATGGCCATTTCCAAATTGTCTCCAGTCCACACCATGGCCTCACCCACAACGTCGCTACACTTGTCGTACTTTGCCCTCCCTGGCAGGGCCGAGTTGACGCGCCTGCTCTTTGCTTACGGCAACGTGGACTTTCGCGACACCAGATACACGTTCGAAGAGTACGGGGCCACGAAGAGTACCTTGAACCTTCCGTTCGGCCAGCTTCCCACGTTGCAAGTGGACGGCGCGACCACGTACGCCCAAAGCCTGGCCATCGCCCGGTACGCGGCGAAACGGGTGGGCTTGTACCCGGAGGACCCGTTGGTGGCCCTCGAGGCCGACTCCGTCGTGGACACCATCGCCGAGCTCTACAACGCCACCTACCCCATCATCTTTGGCGAGAAAGACAAGGACGCCCAGACCACCAAGCTCGACAACCTCAACAACGTCGTGTTTCCGCGCACCTTTGAGCGGTTGGAGCAGCGAGTGCAAGGACCGTTCTTTACCGGCGCGACCGTCACGTTCGCCGATGTGTACCTCTTGGACGTGGTCGAGAACCACATCGGTGGCTTCCCCGACCACCTCAAGCTCAATTTGGCCGCGTACCCCAAGCTGCAAGCCATCGTGGCGACGTTGCATGCCAGCGACAAGTTGAAAGCGTACTATGCGACCAAGTCTCAATAGATTTATTCGTATCTTATGACCTCGGCCTCAACGTAGTTTTTAGGGTGATTGCAGTGCTCACCGACAGTGGTGCATCGGAAAGAGCGTGTTCTGTGGTCATTTCGCACACTCCGTGTGGGTTGGTGAAGCCGGACACACAGCGAGGGCAAATGTTTGGAAGGAGACAGAGGGAATGTCGTCTCGGTCGTACATGCCAGAAATTGATGGAGACACGCAGGTTAGTCACGCCAGAAACGTACCAACGAGCCCTGCCC